GCCACCTTAGGTGTATGTGGCTGGCACCTTAGCCGCTTGAGCCACAGGCGCCAAGCCAAGTTTAACTTTTTAAAACAATTTAATTTTGTAGCCATTGAAGTAGAGAAGAAAAAAATAAAACAATTTACTGTCTGGATTCTTAGCCCTAGATTAATAACATGCCCCTCTCCCTTCTTCCCTGGTCATTATTGTGATAGGCTTAATTTTCTTTGTGGAAATTATCTTCTGTGTATTTTAGGTCGTTTCACTAGAGAGGGTATAAGAATCACTTAATGTAATATCTTTATTATTGTTAGATACTTTCTCTCTCATCAAGAATCTTCTTCTCACTATCATTTTTTCTCTGTGCTACTTTTTGAATACACCGATACTATTATTCCTGTCTTTAAACATTCCTAATCACTGATCTATAGCAACATTTTTCTTTTAGTTATCAGTGAATACTACCTGATTAATTTTTTCTTAACGTTCTACTCTTTGTTCTCATTTTGCTTCTTTAATCAATACCTCTTTGCTGACATGTTTGCTACTGTGGGTTTCCTAAAGTTTCAGTCCATGGATTTTTAATTCCAGTTAATGCTCATTTCTTTGAAAACATAAATTATCTTCACTGCTATATCTACAGTCATTATGTAAATAAATTCAAAATTATATCATCGTTTCTCACCTTTACTATAAAATTTGATCCTTTGTTTTCTATTGGAAAACACTTACACATATGACATGGAACGGGACACCCAGAAACATGTAAGAGTTAAGTTTGACCTGAAATACTATCAAATAGAAGGCACGTAGAATTTGAGTTCCATGCGGTCCAAGTTCTACTACTTGTTGACTGTGATCTTATACAATTGAGCCTTAAGTTATTCATCTGAGAAACAGAAATATATTACGTGTCCCACTTACTTTATAGGGTTGTTGTGATTATCAAATGGGATGATGAATATAAAAACATTTTACTGTAATGGGAGTTGTTGCTTTCTTTTGTCCACAGCTAAGAAAATGTCTTCATTTGCCTATTACTCTCATGAATGTCTTTATTTGCCTATACTCTCAAGCCTAAGATCAAAGTATAAAATATTTGATGTGTTTGGCTTCTTTCTCATTTATCAGTCATCCCATATCTAGGCAGTCATCAACTGTCAAAAGGACAATCCAATCTTAGAGCTGAAAATATTCCTTATCATATACTTTCTTACAGTTTATTGGGTTGACTACTTGCTGTTATGTTAGAAATACAATTAATTAACCCCACCCCAAACTTAAACAAACCTCAATTTTTAGGAGTAAAACCTAGGTATTTTAGTTTTATCTCCTTGGGTCATCTTTCAGATAAATAGTTTGTTACTTCTTTGTTGTTTTATAGAAGATACTTGTATTTCATTTAGCTGTTTTAGTTGCTTTTAGCAGAAGACTTGGTTCATAGTTTCTTAGCCTGTGATTGATGTAGATTAAATTCTTCCATAGTATTTCTAGTTAATGCTTTTCTTTTTTATTATTTCTTATTTCTTCATATTACTAATATTTTCTTTTGTCTCTTAGCTTATTTTTTATATATAAATTCTCAGTCTGTATATTCTATTAATTATGCTTTGTATAGTTTTTACTTTTTGGTTTATGGTTGTAATACTAATGAATCAAGTATAGTCATCTGTAAGTTTATATTCAAATCAAGGTATTTATTTTTCCCAGTAGTGCATACTGGGAGAAGGGATCAGAAGGCCAAGTTCTATTGTGAATTTAAGGATTAACCTCTTGAAAATAGGTGATAACTACAAGAGGTTGGGAAAGTCATAAAACTGGGATGTAGATCTTAGCTCTTCAAAGGAAAGGGAGGGAAGAGATAGAAGGGAAGGAACGTCTTATCCTTCAGTATAGACCCAAGAACATTTGGCAAAGCTTTTAGGGACTCTTCAAGCCACAGTCTCTCATCAGGGAAGTTCCTTGTCTCATTGGTAGGCCTTAGTAGCCTTGCCATGCTCAGTCATTGGTTGGGAGCATCTCAGGAAAGCATGATCTCATTATAAATATGGTGATGGGTTCAGAGCACAGCAGTTGGGGCCAACAGTCAGTGATACTTTATGAAGTGGGAGCTGTGAAAGGTGTGTTCTCATAACCTTCATGCCCCCCCCTCATATTTTATGTACTTTACTTGAAATATCCTGAATTTCCTACAGTGAAAATAGTCTTCATTCATAGTCATATTGATAGTGAATTGTTTCTTTATTTCCTCTCATAAATCTTTTTTATTTCTTTTGATTGCTTCTACTTTGACTCATTTTTTTTCATAATTTTCTTTCTATGTTTTTTTTTCCTGTATCTTACCTAAGAATGCTTTATTCCTACTACTAAGCCAACAAGTATCAAGTCTTTTCTTAAAACCTTTCATTTCTCCAGCAGGGAAATATCATATATTAATTTATAAATATCTAGGGTAAGGGGACCATCTTTAAAAAATGGTTAATGTATTAGTTCCCTTGGTAACCATACTCTTGATATTTCACATATTTCTCTCAGTAACTCCCTTTTATGAACTATTCCATTATATATGTTTTAGTTGAACATATTCGTATAACCACTAATTTACAAAGTGGATTTAAGGTGACATGGCTGCTTTTCTATCCCTGATTGTTACTTCAATCTATTGTACCATGTCCTTGATGCATACAACTTTGCTGGAATGGGAAAATTCTTCTTTAGCAAAACATGTAGCGCAAGATAAATGTTAGTCCTTTCCTTGAGAAGTAGCATGACACTTTACTTTTCCCATATATTTTCTGTGTGTTTACAAGGCTTGAAATTCTTAGAATGTTTAGATAACTTATAATTGGATCCAGTAACCTCTTGAATGAATTCCATTGCATCAGTTACTCTCTTTCACCAGTCCCTACCTTCAATCAACTTGATGTTCTATTTCCAAAACAACTTATTTTCAAACTCCAGTTTAATTAAAATATTGCTCAAGAATTTTAAGTGGTCCTCTGTTATTTTACAGATCAAATCCCAAATCTAAACTCTTTTAATATCATTTCAAGGCTCTTTGAGGGGCTCTCTCATCTATCATTCATAATGTTTTAATAATAAAAACAGGGCTCAGTGCCCATATATCAGTGGTTAGGGCACTGGCCACATGCACTGGGGCTGGTGGGTTCATACCTGGCCAGCACCTGCTTAACAACAATGACAATAACAGCCAGGCATTCTGGTGGGCGCCTGTAGTCCTAGCTACTGGGAAGCTGAGGCAAGAGAATGGCTTAACCCCAAGAATTTGAGGTTGCTGTGAGCTGTGACACTCTAGCACTCTACAGAGGGTGACATAATAAGACTCTGTCTCAAAAAAAAAATAGGCAAAATTTAACTGTTAGGCACATGCTAAGTACTACAGGGTGTCCCCAAAATCATCCATAAATTTGCCATACATAGGAAAAATCAGAAATTGTAGCTAAATGTACCTTTATACAAAATATTCATTACAAAATTTACAAAATATTCTCTTCATGTTGACCACCTCTTTGTAAAATTGTGTAATGAACATTTTGTAAACAAAGGTACATTAGCTAAAATTTCCCATTTTCCCTATTTATAGCAACTTTATTGGAGACTTTAAGACACATTTTATGTATCTATTTTTTTAATTGCATTTAATCTTCACAAAAAATGTCTGAAGTGGGTACTTTTATTATCCCCACATTACATTTAGAAACTGATAAAGTTACTTGCATATGATTACTTACCTTCCTAGTAAGTGAAGGAGCAAGGATTCTAACCAAGTCAAATCTACCCCAAGTCATAATCACTATCAACTCACGTTCTTCAAGCCATAGTCTTCATTACAGTATTCTAAAGATACTTTTTTAACTTTGCTCTTTTTATAAACAAGATTTTTCCTGAGTTCATTAGAGTTTTATTTCCTTTATGTCCAGGCATATTAATTACTTTGAAAACTCTTCTCAGGAATCACACTGCCTGTACTAAGTCATCCCACACTGACCATTCTCTTAGCTTTAATTTCCTCTGTGCTTAAGTTTGTATGTAAAGGTTATCATTAACTGGATTTGTCCTCGAGCTATTTCATATGTAAATTATCTTCCTAGCCAACCTATAAGTTCTGGAGATTGTATCTTATACATTTTTTGGTGTATCTTTTGTACCAGTATTATAACAGGTACAGAATAGATGGCTGGTTAAGCTGATGGGGAAAATGTTTTATTTTTACATCTTTTCTCACAGAAGCAGGAAGATTGATGGCTTGGTATTATATTACATTTGAGACAGTGAAGAAATTTTTTACACTCAGTGGAAAAGAAACTGTATCAGATCTGGTAAATTAATTTTCACTAGAAAATAAATAATATATAGTATAAAATAATATTTGAGAAACAACTAATTTGTATATCATATAATTTAAGAATGAATAAACAAAAAGGAAAGTATTTCTAAGAATGTTTATATCTCCTGCTGTATACTTTTGATCATGAGATATGGAATATTCCTCCTTAGAACGTATCATATTTTCAGTTTTATCACTGTGGAGAAAATGGGAACAATAATAGGTTATGCAAAAATATCAACAGTGAGGGCAACTTTGCAGCTGCAGCAGTGAATATTGTTGGCACCTGGTAACTGCATTGGTCCTTTCTCCCTTTACTGGGGAAAGGGATATGAAATAAAGTATTTATTTTCAAATTAAATTTAAAAATAGGGATATGAAATAAAGTATTTATTTTCAAATTTAATTTTTTTAAATATCTACATTGATTGCTTAGATTATTATACTAAAAATTGCACAGCGGAATTTCAATTATTAAGGAGCAACATACACAAAAATACTATTCTTAACAAAGAATAAATCAAGACTAGAAAATATCTTTATTAACATTCACTCATCTGATCTTGAGTTTAGCAAGTGTGTAAGAGAATTAAAACAAGTGTTAGCTCCATTTTATATATGTGGGAAACCAAAGCACAGACTGCTTTGACCAGTCATCCAGCAGAAGTAGGCTCTAGAATGCAAATTTCTAAACAGCTTAAATATTATTTTTATTACAAAATTAACCTTAATTGGAGTAATGATTTGTAAACTGTAGAAAAGTGAATGGAGATAATAGTGGTAGAAAGAAAACTAACGTTTATCCAGTATTTATTACTATGTGGTAGACGCTGAGCTGAGTATTTTAAATTCTATCTTATTAACATTTATAGTATTACTGGTATAGTCTCAGAGTCTAACACAATGACTAGCATATAACAGATGCTTAGAATCAATCGGCAGAAAAGCTAAGTGTATAAAGCAGGTTTTTAACTCTAACATGAAAACTCATGGCTCAAAGCAGCATGCAAGACAAATAAATTTGGAGAAAGAGGATGAGAAGAAATAAAAAGAAAAAGAAATTTAAAAATTGTCATTAAATGGACAAATGCTGCAATTTTATAGGTCACAATGATAGCTGGCTGCAAGGAATTTTTTGATATACAATTGAGAATAAATGAAAAGAAAACACTGAATACGTTGAACAAAGATCCAAAGCGAGTAACTATCAGGTACAGAAGTTATATGTGTTTTAAATAATTTTTAAGAGGTTTTATTTAATTAAAATAATAATAAAATTTTTCCATGTGTTTTTATTCAGATTTCCAATGGAAGGAAGAATTAAAACAAGAGAAATGAAAGTAAATTGGTAAAGATGATTTTTAAATGTTTTAAAATACTGACTACTAATTCATGATTCATATTTATAAAGGTTTTCTTTTCTGTTTTCTTTTCTTTCTTTCTTTTTTTTTTTTTTTTAAGAGACAGAGTCTCATTTTGTCACCCTCAGGAGAGTACCTTCGTGTCACAGCTCACAGCAACCTCCAGCTCTTGGGCTTAGGTGGTTCTCTTGCCTCAACCTCCCAAGTAGCTGAGACCACAGGTGCTCACCACAACACCCAGCTATTTTTTGTTGCAGTTTGGCCTGGGGCTGGGTTCGAACCCACCACCCTCCTTATATTGGACAGGAGCCCTACCCACTGAGCCACAGGCACTGCCCCAGGGTTTCTTTTATTTAGTTTTAAAACATATCTTACATTCTGTCTCCTATTTTTATGTAAATATGTTAATTTTTGTACTAAGGAGGCTAAGGTAGGAGGATTGCTTAATCCCAGGAATTTAAGGCTGCAGTGAGCTATCATGCCACTATATTCCAGCCTTAGCGATAGAGTAAAGCACTCTAAAAAAAAAATTTTTTTTATACAATTTTTTTTAAAGACCCAAGTATTTTTAAAAAAGATAGTGACTTTATAGTTATTTTTATACATACCATAATTTAGATTCCCATTATCATTTTCCACCCTGTGTATTTTATTTGAAGACCCCCAAAAGAGAGAAGAGTTTGTGCATTTTCTTAATCTAAAATGTTTAGTCTTTGGGTAGGTGCTGATAGCTAACTGTTACCACTTTCATGTTAATTCTCTCATATCCCTGTTACTTTGCTGAATTTCAGATCTTTTCTTCTCCAAGTAGATGTTCATCCTCTTAATTTTAAAATTCCATTTTTAGTTTTTGCCCTTTTAATTTAAGCTTTAAAAAATTTCTAGGTCTTCCCTTTTCAGCACTAACTCTGTTTTCTTTTGTTTCTTTCTTTCTTTTTTTTTTTGAGTCACCCTCAGTAGAGTGCTATGACATCACAGCTCACAGCAACCTTCTGCTCTTGGGCTTAGGCAATTCTCTTGCCTCTGTCTCCCGAGTAGCTGGGACTACAGGCACTTGCCACAATGCCCAGCTATTTTTTGTTGCAGTTTGGCCTGGGCCGGGTTTGAACCCACCACCCTCAGTATATGGGGCCAGCACCCAGCTCTGTTTTCTTTAACTATTATTTTTCATTGAACTTATAGCATGTGATATGGAGCCATCATACCAAGCCCTCGATTGCTTAACCTTTGACTTCTTTTATACAAGAGAATGAAACAGTTGTATTTAAAACATATGGTCTGGTTTTTGTTGGACCTAATTCTAACTGAATTAATACCTTGTCTTATTTAATCCTTATAATAATCCTTATTGCTGTTGAATATAAATAAATATTATTTCATCTTATTTTTACTGTACCAATTTTATATGTACCCCACATTTGTGTATCCCTAGATAGCTTTACAAGGAGTTTATTTATCCAACATTTAAAAGCATTTCATCCACATTTTCCCTTTGGTTCTTTCTTCATTAATAAACCACATAACTTTATAAATATTTCTTTAAAGATGATTTAACATGATTTTCAGAAGCATATGCTATAGCCAAAAGAAGTAAGTAGTCTAAGTTTCACCTGTATTCACCTAATTCTGAGAGTGAATTGTTTTTGTTTTCATATATCCTCTGCTAAAACTAAGCTATAAAATACATATAATTATTCTATCCTTTATCTTTGTATATCTGACTGTTTTGGTCTTTTCAGGCAACCCCAGGAGCGTAATACATGTCTAATAATTTTAGTTAGACCCATGGGTTATTTGCAAAAGAGGTAGCAAAAAGCCTGGGATATAGCAGGCACAATAAACACTAGGATCTTTTATCTTAAAATCATCAACTCAAATTTAGTAGCCAAGCAATTTTGGTTTCAAATAACAAACTGATAACGTTACTGACCGTATGTTGAACAGAATGCTCAGCATCTAACACTGTGATTGGCACATAGCATTTAATAAATATTTGTTGATTAAATAAATTATAGTGTTTGTTTATAATACCTTTAAAAGAAATAGTAAAACTGAAAGAATTGTATTGGAGGAAAATACAATGATAATTTTAGATGTGTTGAGATTAAAGTAACAATCTAACTGAAAGTATTCTATAAGCATTTGGAATTTATCAGTCTAGAGATTATAAGGAAAGTCTTGAGAAGAAATGTGCTTTTAAAAGAAAGATTAAATAAAGAAGACTTAAAAAACAAGCACTGAACTTTGGGCAGGGGGTTGGGGGGGAGAAGGAGTGAACTTTTGTTCTTGACTTGCAACAATAGTTAGGCACGATATAGAATCATGTAGTAGTGGCCCAGAAATCAAGGCAGAGAAAAATTTTAAGAAGTAATACTTCAGTCATTGATGTCAATGGTGTGAGACAATTAACTTTTAAAAGGAAGTAATGACATTTCTTCTTGGCTTCAGTCTTATTCAGGCTCAACTAGGATGCATTCCCATACAAGATTTTTCTCTGACACAAGATACTGCAAAGATTTTCAGAAGTGGCTCACGAATTACAAGATGTACGTTATAGAATTAGTGGATTTTCAATATTTTTCCAGTAAACTAGTGTACTAGATTTAATATTGGAAACTTTTTTTTTGTAGGGTTGTCAGATTTTGTGGCTGCTCAAGAAAAGAAGTTTGCTGTACTATTGAATAGTTTGATTTTAGCTAAGTGTTTTAGGTGTAAACTTTGGGAAAACTCTTTGCATATATCCAAACAGCTGGAAAAAATTGGTAGGTCCTGAATATAGGTAGGCAGTTTGGCAATGTCTGCAATTTTATTTTGTGTTTTATTGTTAGGAAAATTATTCTATGGTGATTATAAACCTTTAAGGAAAACACATGTTGGTAGGCCTAAATCAGGTACTGTATCTTACTTTTGAAAATCCAATTTGTATTTGCTCCTATTTTAAAAAATGTAAATCTGTAATCAACTGAATGGTACATGAAATACCTAATAAAAATTATTACTGTTATTTTAAAATTCTTTTCATACCAGGAGTAAAATTTTGTTTTTCTAATGTAGTGACTAGGTGATGCTTTCTCTTCCACTTTTATGACTAACATTTTGTTTTGATTTCAATGACAAGCTAAAAAGCTAGCAGTCCCAGTCTTTCCTAATTTGTTTCATAAAATAATGTCACTGATTTGTATATTTTTTATTTTTAATATCAGAATTTTTTTTTTTTTTTAGAGACAGTCTCACTTTGTTGCCCTCGGTAGAGTGCCATTCTGTCACAACTCACAGCAACCTCCAACTCCTGGGCTTAGGCGATTCTCTTGCCTCAGCCTCCTGAGTAGCTGGGACTACAGGCACCCCCCACAACACCTGGCTATTTTTTGTTGCAGTTTGGCTGGGGCCGGGTTCAAACCCCCCACCCTCGGTACATGGGGCTGCGCCCTACTTATTGAGCTATAGGCGCCACCCACTAACAGTAGAATATTAATACTGATCTTCACAGAGGTTGTGCAGACAAAAGTTTGTGCCTGATTATTTTGTCTGTAGGGACCTCATGTGCACTGAAAAACTTGAGGAAGTGCCATTTACCAAAATGTAGATCTGACTAAAGGATTCTTCATTTTCCAATTTGGTATCTCTGACTTTGTGACCCTACTCCCCTTCTAGATTTCAGAGATATCTAGAATTCTAAAAAGAATGTTGTTTTCCCATGATTGACAGCCTTGTTAGTTTTACAATTTTGTATGCATCTTGGGGATGTTAAAAATTTACGTAATGAGTCTCTAGGGATTGTCTTGTTATTTATTTGAACAAAGATTGACAGCTGTTTTATGAGGAAATCTTACTTTTTATTTCCATGAAATTTAAAATCAGTGGAATGGCAGAGGGCTTAGAAAGTTCTGGGAGTGAGGTGAAGGTAGTGATTGGTGAAAATAAAGTCAAAAGAGGGAGAAAGGCTGGGTGCAGTGGCTCACACATGTAATCCTAGCATTCTGGGAGGCCAAGGCAGGTGGATTGCCTGAGCTCACAGGTTGGGGACTAGTCTGAGCAAGTGCGAGACCCCTTCTCTAAAAAAAAAAAAAAAAAAAATTAATAATAATAATAATCCAGGTGGTGTAGTGGGCACCTATAGTCCCAGCTACTTGGGAGGCTGGGACAAGAGAATTGCTTAAGCCCAAGAATTTGAGGTTACTGTGAGCTATGAAGCCACAGTACTCTACAAGGGGCAATAAAGTGAGACTCTATCTCAAAATACATAAATACAATACAATAAAAAACAAAATAGGGGAGAGATTCCTGATGGAAAGGCTCACCTTCCAAGTCCTGCCAAGTCAAATGCCACACCTACTCCCCACACAAAGGTAAGAGTTCTAATTTGGAAAGGAGGTTCCATATAACATTTAGAAAATAGTAACTTAGAGAAAATTTTGAAATTTGGTTAAATGATTACCAATAAGTTTTGTTATACTTGAAAAAGCCAGTCTTTCTGACTTTCTAGAATATTGCCAATTTGAGCATACTTTGCATTTTGCCTCTTACAGATCATTGAACTCCAACCTGTTTTTCACAGATACTCACTATGGCTGAACAGAAAATACTGATTCTAAAGAAGCAAATATTTGCCCAGGGAGGGGAGGAGAACATGTAAAAGTGAGAGAATCTAAACAAAAAGCAAATCTAAATAATTTTGTTTATTTGTTTTTTTGTGACAGAGTCCTACTCTGTCACCCTCAGTAGACTGCTGTGGCATCATAGCTCATAGCAACCTCAAACTCAAGTGATTCTCTTGCCTCAGCCTCTCAAGTAGCTGGGACTACAGGCTCCCCACCACAATGCCCAGCTATTTTTAGAGATGGGGTCTTGATCTGGCTCAGGCTGGTCTCAAACCTGTGAGCTCAGGCAATTCACCCTTCTCGCCCTCCCAGATCCAGAGTGCTAGGATTACAGGAGTGAGCCACCACCCCCAGCCCAAGTCTAAGTTCTTTTTTTTTTTTTTTTTTTTAAGACGGAGCCTCAAGCTATCCCCCTGGGTAGAGTGCCACGGCATCATAGCTCACAGCAACCTCCAACTCCTGGGCTCAAGCAAGTCTCCTGCCTTAGCCTCCCAAGTAGCTGGGACTACAGGCGCCCGCCACAACGCCCGGCCATTTTTGGGTTGCAGCCATCATTGTTGTTTGGCGGGCCTGGGCTAGGGATTCGAACCCGCCACCTTAGGTGTATGTGGCTGGTGCCTTAGCTGCTTGAGCCACAGGCGCCAAGCCCCAAGTCTAAGTTCTTATTGAGCATCATGTTTTTTAGAGACAGAGTCTCTCTCTCTCTCTTTCTCTCTCACCCTTGGTAGAGTGCCATGGCATCGCATAGCTCACAGCAACCTCTAACTCCTAGGCTTACGCAATTCTCTTGCCTCAGTCTCCTGAGTAGCTGGGACTACAGGCACCTGCCACAACGCCTGGCTATTTGTTTGTTGCAGTTTGGCTGGGGTCGGGTTTGAACCCGCCACCCTCAGTATATGGGGCCGGCACCCTACCCACTGAGCCACAGGTGCCACCCAATACAAATTCATTTTTAATAGTGACTATAAACTAAAAAGCTATTTATAAAAGTGAGGAAAAATTATGAAGGAAAGTGGAAATGAACATTAAGGAATTATGAATCCTAGAAGTCATGTCTTAGGAATGAGAAGTTGCCAAGAACAGTTAAATGCATGAATATTTAGGACATAGGGTGTCATACCTTTATCAGTTATACATGTTCCTTAGACAAGGAGGTAATTTTGTTGTTGTTATTGAAATGGAGTCTCACTTTGTCACCCTTGGTAGAGTGCTGTGGCATTACAGCTCCCAGCAAACCTCAAACTTTTGGGCTTAAGTGATTCTTTTGCCTCAGCCTTCCAAGTAGCTGGGACTATAGGTGCTTACCACAACACCCAGCTATTTTTTTGTTGTCATTGTTTGGCAGGCCCAGGCTCGAACCTGCAAGCCCTGGTGTACATGGCCAACACCCTAGCTCCTGAGCTATAGGTGCTGAGTCAATAGTTTAGAATTTTATATTTTTGACAGTATCTTTTATTTTTGGGATTTGAATAAATTCATTCATAAGCATGTAAGAATTTTAAATTTCAGGCTTGGTGCCTGTAGCTCAGTGGCTAGGGTGCCAGCCATATACAACAGGGCTAGCGGGTTTGAACCTAGCCCTGGCCTGCCAAACAACAAGGACAACTACAACCAAAAAACAGCTGCGTGTTGTGGTGGGTGGCTGTAGTCCCAGCTACTTGGGAGTCTGTGAGGCAAGAGAATCGCTTAAGCCCAAGAGTTTGAGGTTGCTGTGAGCTGTAATGCCGTGGCATCTACCGAGGGCGACATAGTGAGACTCTGTCTCAAAAAAAAAAAAAAAAAAAAAAAAATTTGAATTCCAGCTTCTGAAAGCATAAAGAAATAGAAAAGTTCTGAAGACGAAAATTAACTTGCCGTATTTAAGGAACAAAATAAAAGGCAGTATGGCTAGAAAGTAGTCAGCAAGAGGAGAGTGGTAGAAAATTAGATGAAAGAGGTAGACTATGGTCAAGTCATATAGGAAAGGAAATTTGTACATAGTAAGGAAATTGCCATTTCATCTTAAATGTAATGGAAAGGCATTGGACATTTTAGGCAGAAGGGTAAAATTATCTGATTTGGGTACACAGACAGCTGTATTTCTGAGAAAGAAGTGCTCAGGGAGTCACAGCTTCATGAAGCAATATTATTTTGCTTCATTCAAGCATGACTTTTTAATCATATTGCCTTTCTTTCAAACATGAGTATAAAAGTACAGGGATCGGCTCGGCGCCTGTGGCTCAACCGGCTAAGGCGCCAGCCACGTACACCTAAGGTGGCGGGTT